GCAATTCTTCCAAATTCATTCCTAGAAGCAAGTGTTATTTTGATTCCAAAATCAGGGAAAGACCCAACCAAGAAAGAGAACTACAGGCCAATCTCCCTAATGAATATAGATGCAAAATTTTTCAATAAGTTACCAGCCAAAAGAATACAGAGGGTCATCAAGAAGATCATACACCCTGACCAAGTCAGATTTATTCCAGTGATGCAAGGTTTGTTCAACATATGCAAATCAATAAATGTAATACACTATATTAACAGAGTCAAAGACAAAAACCGTATGATCATCTCAATAGATGCAGAAAAAGCATTTGACAAAATTCAACACCATTTCATGACAAGAGCCCTGCAGAAAATTGGAATAGATGGTCTTTATCTCAACTTGATAAAGGCATCTATGAAAAAACCAACAGCCAACATCATACTAAATGGTCAGAATCTGAACACCTTTCCCACTAAAATCAGGAACAAGACAAAGAAGTCCACTATCATCACTCCTGTTCAGTATAATTTTGGAAACATTAACTGTAGCAATTAGACAAGAGAAAGAAGTAAAAGCAATAAAGATAGGAAAGGAAGAGGTTAAACTGTCATTATTTGCTGATGACATGATACTATATATAGAAGGCCCAAAAAACTCCACCAGAAGACTTCTAGACTTAATTGACAGATTCAGTAGAGTCACTGAGAGAGAAATTAGGGAAACAGTCCCTTTCACAATAGCATCCAAAAAATTAGAAATATCTAGGAACCAATCTAATAAATAAAGCAAAATACCTCTACATTAAGAATTACAATACTCTGAAAAAAGAGATCAAAGAGGATATAAGAAAATGGAAAGACATACCTTGTTCCTGGTAGGAAAAACCAATATAGTTAAAATGGCAATACTTCCAAAACTGCTGTAAAGGCAGATTCAGTGCATTCCCAATTGAAATTCCAACAGTATTTGTCTGTTTCCATGGGCTCTTATTCTTTATTCTAAATTGGTCATTCATGTTTTGTGTTATTTTGTTTAGTTTAGTTCAGCTAACTTTTTATTACTCTATTTTCTAAGCTTGCTGATCATTTTGTTCATTACATCTATTACCTGATTACTTATACCTTCTTTGAGCCCATAAAGAACACTATTTATATATTTTTAAAATATCTTCTGTTATCCTTTTGAGTAATTCTGCTGTGTGGTTTTTGATTTCCTCCTTTTTGATGCCCCATGCACCAACTGGATGAGTTGTGAGTTTTGAAGGTACAATGGCATCTCAGTTCATGAATGCTTTTGTTTGTGAAAAATTTGATTCACAAACAGAAGCATTTGACAAAATTGTGCTTTTTTTCCACACTGAGTTTATTGGTGCTTTTTAGGTTATACAGTACAGTTACATTCATTATTGGGATTTGTACCTTTACATGATAGGTCTTGGTTCTCATTTTTTCCTCATACACTTGGCCTCCCTTCACCCCCTCCACCCTTATCTATTTACAAAGACTTTGTTTTCATTTTTTCCTTTTCTCATATTTTTCTTTTTTATCTTTATTAAATTTATTGATACATATTAGGTGTACAATACAGTTACATTCATCATTGGGATCTTGTACCTATACATGACTTACCAGGTTCTTATTTTTCCCCCACTCCCCAGCCCTCCTGTCAGCCCCTCCACCCTTCCCTGTTTGCAAAGACATTGTTTCCATGTTTTTCCTTTTCTCATATTTTTTCTTTTCCCTTCTTTCATTTCCCCTACCCTTCCCACTTCCCCTTCTCCTTTAGCCCTTTTCTTCCTATTTCATATTATCAATTAAAGTTGTGCTTTTGTTTGTGAATTCTGCACTAGGTGACAAACAAGACTGTGGCCATCTTTCTTACACAAACACTGATGCGGCCATTTTTTATAGAATCATGGAAAGAATTAAATTCATGTACTGAGGTACTACTGTCTTTTGTCATTTTATCATTCCATGTTTTATTGGATTTTGTTTGTTTGTTTTGTGCTGAACTTTGCAGGATTATTATAGTGGGAAAATCTGTTGCCAGAATAGAGACCTCTTTAGTTTTGTGTGTGTGTGTGTGTGTGTGTGTGTGTATTTTTTTCTTTTTATTGAGTTTATTGGTACAATCTAGGTATACAATACAGTTACATTCATTATTAGAATCCTGTACCTCAATGATAGGTCTTGATTCTCACTTTTTCCCCTTGTCCCTGCCCTCCCTTCACCCCCTCCTACCCTCCCCATTTACAAACACTTTATTTCCATTTTTTCAATTTCTCATATTTTTTCCTCTCCCTTATTACCTTTCCCCTACCCTTCCCACTTTCCCTACACCTTTAGCCCTTTACTTCCAATTTCACATTATTCATTATCTTATTAGGATCCTGTGTACTAGTATAGTTTTTCACACCAGAGAAACTATTCAGTATTTCAGTTAAAGAAATCTCTGTATGAACATTAAAAATAGGGAATCCTAAAATAAAACTAAAAAGGAAAGCAAAAGAGAAAAGGCAATGATGTAAGATTAAAATAATCCTTAATACTGAAGATGAAAATGGTCCCTTAACATATTTAAATTGCTTCTTGCTCTTGTAGTCTTATCTTATTCTTTTTCTTTATTATTTAGAGAATACTTTATTAGTTTCTGTAATCAAGCCCACGTAGATATGACCTTACATATTTAATGCAGTATGTTACCCTTGTACAAATGGAAAAAAATAAAAAATTAACATTTCTAGACCAATATGGCTGTCCATTTCTGTACAATGCCAACTCAACACAGTAAATTGGGATAACTTTTTCCAAAGTTGACAGCACCATTAAAGTTTCCCAAAATTCAGTGT